CCTCAGGGAAAGGTGTTGGCACAATGTAGCAAGCTTATACTATGTATAACACATTACATGGTTGGAGATGACATAATAGTTGCTCTCAAAAGAATGTTATTATGTTCATTTGGTTGGCAAGTCCATAATGGGATGATGATGTTCAGAAGGACCTTAGTCGACAGGTAACGGAGGTTGGAAGGATCATAATTGGGCAACGGTGGTTAAAGACATCATAGTCGGAGGGCGACGGTAGCAAACTTATACCATGTATAACACATTACATGGTTGGAGAATGACATAATAGTTGCTCTCAAAAGAATGTTATTATGTTCATTTGGTTGGCAAGTCCATAATGGGATGATGATGTTCAGAAGGACCTTAGTCGACAGGTAACGGAGGTTGGAAGGATCATAATTGGGCAACGGTGGTTAAAGACATCATAGTCGGAGGGCGACGGTGGTGAGAAGCACTATAGTGACATTGAGCTTAATGGATTTGTCTCATGGAGCTACTCGGTTAGACTATAAGCGAGTGATATTTGGATCTTACAATTAATGCTCTGAATCGTTTAAGTAGGTTTTAGTTTTTTTGATTTGGGACCATTTGGGCTCTGATTGGATCAAAATTGATGTCGTTGGGCTCGTCTACTTAAGATGTTCAATTTGACTCTAAGTTTGCTGAAATCAAAGTTCGAATGATCTTAAATTTAACTTTTTAAGCTTCCAACTTCTATTTGCATCGAGAATTGTGCTTGACCAAGAGGAATTTTTGGTTTTATATATATATATATATATATATATCGAGTAGACTCGAGTCGAATATATTCCTAATCAAATTAAGCTTGTTTAACTCTTGCAGAGCTCGAGCTTGACTCAAGTTTGTTTGACGAGCTCGAGTTTGGCTCATTTGAAATTTATTAGGCTTGAGTTTGACTGATTTATTCGAGCTTGACTAATTAAATAATTAAAATTATTTAGCATATATTTAATAATTAAATTTTAAAATTAGATTTTAAATATATTTTAACTGAAACAACCCCCTTAACAAGCTTACAAGCTGAGCCTAATTGAGCTCGAGCTCATATAATATATGAACTCGATTTTAAACTTGAGCTCCAACTTTGATATGTCATAATATGATTATAAACAAATAAGTTCGCCAATCTTAGATATATATATATATATATATATCAAATTCAAAATCTTTTAATCGATAACCAAAGCTCTCAATCAAGAGACTAAGGCTTTGCTTGGGACGGCTTTTTTATTGCTTTCTAAAACGGAGTTTTAGTTTAAAAATAAAAAAATTTGTACTAAAACTTTGTTTTAGAAAGCAATAAAAAGACGTCCTAAACTAAGCCTAATGCTTTATTTGTAACGGCTTTCTAAGTGTTTCTTAAAGCAACTTTTTAGTGCATAAATTTTAATTTTTATACTAAATTTTAAGAAACAATAAGAAAGCTGTTCCAAACGAAGCCTAAAAAGAGTTAGATTTTTTTTGTGCAAGGCTAAAGGCTCACTCAGTCCATCACAATAGGTCTGTTTGTGATATTTTTTTGCTATTTATTTTTTGATCGAAATTATAACTTTTTCTTGCTATTTTTTGTGCTTTTAAATTTTTTTTGTTAAAATTATATTTTACATAGGTAATTTTTTCACAATAGTTTTACTATTATCTTTACAAAATGTTGCAGTCATCTCAAACAAAGATCTAAAATTTAATTTTGGGGCAATTTAAGGCTTCGTTTGGGACAAAGTGTGATCACTATTTTTGCTATTTTAAAAAAGAAAATTGTAAAAAAAACTGTTTTAGAAAGCAATAAGAAAATTATCCTAAACGAAGACTAAATTTTTTTTTTTTTTTTGCTTTAAAAAGTTTTTGTTTAGCCGTAGTTTCAAAAATGCACCTTCAAAATAGCTTTTTAAAGATAAAATTTTGGGAAAGCGATAAAAATGTCATCTTCCAAATAGGCATTTTTTGTCATTGACAGTTTTTCTTGCTAGAAACGCAGTCGAAAAAGCTCTTTCAATAAAGCCTAAGACTCTCTAGCTTTGGTGGATTTTCTTTAGGCTATGTTTGGTGAATTGAAAAGTAGGAAATGAAAGTGAAAATGACAAAGAATTTGATTTTAGAAATAATTTCTACCCATTTGGTTGTGTTTCAATTCGACATAAAATCCTCTCAAATATAGGAGAAATTATTCCATGCGGAATCACGGCAGGAAAGAACCATCCAAATTATGATTGTACACACTGTACGTGTACAAATAGTGTGTACACAGTTGGAACCAAACTATGTACAAAAATTGTACACTGTGTTAAACTCATAGTCCGGATGATTCTTTCCTATCCGGACTCCCCACTGAATAATTTCACCAAATAAAGCTTAAATGTGAATCCTAGAAGTACAAATTAGACCAAAGTTATAAATTGATGCGATAAAAACTCGAATATAATTATACTTACTTACATAAGAGAACTTTCATAAGATCTCAACCCAACCAAAAAAAATACAATTGTCTTCGAAATAAAGGTTCGTTAGAGACAACTATACATTTTTATAGATGTGGTTATAAAGCTATTGTAAAGAAAATATATTTTTAAAAAGCTGTTGTTGTGGAGTATTCGCGGCGGTAGAGAAATATAAAGTTTATCGTCTTAGCGTTGTACGAAAATCGGTCACGCAATAAGATAAGAGAGAGTGTGTAGCATTCATATGAGACACCAATATTTTTACGTAGAAAACCCCTAAAAAGGAGAAAAAATCACGGGGTCTAGCCTAGTTTGAATTAATCCACTAATATTGCAATTGATTACAAATAAGGCTCTTCATTGAGGGAAGGCCTTAATTTGATGTACATCTTATAGAGTACCTTATATGATGTGAATATAAAGAATCATTGTTGATGTATTTGTTTGGTTGGACGGACTGTAGTCGGTGGGCGACGTAAGTCAGAAGGACCTTAATCAGCGGGCGACGGAGGTTGGAAGGACTGTAGTCGGTGGGCGACGTAAGTCAGAAGGGCCGTAGTCGATGGGCGACGGAGGTCGGGAGGACTGTAGTCAATGGGCTACGTAAGTCAGAAGGATCGTAGTCGGCGGATGACGGAGTTCAGAAGGACTTTAGTCGGTGGGCGAGGTAAGTCGGAAGCACTGTAATCAGCAAGCGATGGAGGTCGGAAGGACTATAGTCGGTGGGCGACGTAAGTCGAAAGGACCATAGCCGACGGACGACGGAGGTCAAAAGGATTATAGTCGGCGTACGACGGAGGTCGGAAGGACTGTAGTCGGTGGGCAATGTAAGTCAGAATGATCGTAGTCCGCAGGCGACAGAAGTTAGAAGGACCGTAGTCGACGAACAACGAAGGTTGGAAGAACTGTAGTGGATGGGCGATGTAAGTCGGAAGGACCGTAGTCGGCGGCCGGGCGACGGAGGTCAGAAGGACTGTGTCACGTAGAAGTCCAACAATGGACAGAAATCCAGCATCAGATATGTCTGGCGAAAATATGACAACGGGCGTAAGTCCGGCATCGAGAAGAAATCGGGCAACGAGCGTAGGTCTGGCGTCGGGTAGAAGTTCGACGTCAGTCGGCGGCCATGGAGAACTCCGGCGTTATATGGTATTAAGAAAAAACTCCAAAGTCACCTAAAGATCAGACAGAATTCTGACGTCCCTTGGAAAGTCAAGCGGAATTCTGGCGTTACTTAGACATCGGATGGAATTTCAGTGTCACTTGGGCAGAATTTTGACATCACTTGGGCGTTGGGCAGAATTCCGGCGGTGGTCGAGGAGGAGTTTCTTCCCTCATATCCTTCTATTCTTCTTCTTCTTGCTTGCTTAGGTCCCCTCTCAAGAAAAATGAGGGGTTGTTTATAGTTTTTTGAGGATGTCATGACCCGTAAATAGGAGGAGGATCAAGGGCGAATGTGGAGTGGTTCGGATGGACAACCGATATTCATGAATCATTTGACCGTGGACCATTTATCAGACATTTGAAGGTCTTAATGATATTGGAATTTGGTGATCTTGGGCTTGTTGGATTCGTCTCGTCGAGCCGCTCGATTTGACTATAATCATGTCATGTTTAGAAATCGTTTGATAATACAAATTGTGGTTTTAACCTACCAACAACGCTTCGGGTCTTTGATTCAGACTCATTTGGGCTCAGATTGAGTTGAATTTGATGTCGTTGGGTTCGTATTTCCGTGACGCTAAGTTTGACTATAAGTTTGCTGAAATCAAGGTTCATGTGATCCAGGATTTAATTTTTGAAGTTTCCGGCTTGCTTTTTGCCTCGAGATTCGCGCCCGATCAAGATAATTTTTTGATGATATATCATAAAAAACAGTTTTCTAGCAAAAAATAGTAATGAAACAGAGCCAATATTATGAAACCTAAATCATTATGAATTGTTTTCATCAAAGTCATACTTTGGGTCTACAACTCTATTGAGTCTATTCAATGTGCTTCAATTTTTTCACATGTGGTGGGCACTCTCAGCTTGTATTCAGATATATCAATAATGATTTTCTCGATCATCATAGGCATCAACATCCCTTCAGAAGCTATAGATTGATAAAGCATAAATATTACAAACCTTCTCAGTGAAGAATGATCATTGGTCCACAGTTTCTCAAAGAGTGCGAATATACTATTTAAAAATATAAAATTAAAGTATTTAAAAATTAATAATTATTTTTTTGGGAATGCAAAATAGTTAGTTCTATTTGGAGAAAAAGTAAGCTTAAATTTGGAAACTGATAAACTCAAAGGTCCACGAACCAAGCTTGCTAAATTGCGTGTCGTGAAATTCTATCTTGACTCGTTAGTGATCCGAAAGAGTAAATTGAACCTGCCAGACCCGGACCACAGATGTTGATGGGATGGCCCGAGACGCCACCTAGTTATTTGGATAAGTTCCATTCTTGTAATTTTCTCAATATCCAGGTCCATTTGATCCAACTCTCCATCTATAAATACTGCGCGAGACTTTCTTTTCATCTGCTGTCCTACCAAAACAGAGAAGAGCGGAGAAGGAGAAGACGAGGAGAGAAACGGATTCATGGAAGATGCAATGAAGTCAATGGAAGAAGAGGACTCTCTGTTCTCATCTATCGTATCATCAGGCTTCTATCCCCCAATGCAACAAGGTTTGTAGTTCCCTAAACTCTGTCGATTCTCGCTCTCTCTTGTACCTCCTTCCAAATGTTTGTAGATTTGACTGCCTGATTTGGATTTGGTATCCAGAGGAGTCAAAGGTACGCCGGCCAAGAAAGAAGGCGAAAGACGTCATAGATGGAGAGGCGGAGGTTTGCGTTGAGGGAAAGAAGCGGAGGCTGAGCGACGAGCAGGTCAGATTCCTGGAGATGAACTTTGGGATGGAACGCAAGCTTGAATCCTGCCGGAAAATCAATCTCGCATCTGAGATCGGCCTCGAGCCAAAGCAGGTCGCCGTCTGGTTCCAGAACCGTCGAGCTCGCTGGAAGAGCAAGCAACTCGAGGAGGAGTACATCCATCTCAAATCCTCTCACGACGCCGTCATGATCGAGAAATGTCGCCTCGAGAACGAGGTCAGTTTACCCCGATCCAAACCCTAACCCTAGCCCCCTTTAAATCCATTATCGCTCACAAAATAGCAATTCAAATTATGGCAGATATTAAATCTTAAAGACAAGTTGGTACAATCGGAGGAAGAGATCAGGAGACTTTCCTCTCCCTCCGCCGCCAGCGAATTGACCGGCGTAGGAAGTCCGATCTCTCCGTTGACGATGACAACGTACTTTGGAGAGTTTGGGATGGAGGAGGAAAATGGAATAATGCATATGTCCCCGTACTCAGACAACTACTCTTACAGGATGGAGATGACTGAAGAGCCATCTCTATGGGATGGAATGACTAATCAGTAATTAGGATGATTATGACGTGATTAGTGTGTGATTTATATGAATTAGTTGGTTTAGAAGTATAAATTACTAATTAGTTACTCGCCAGAAAACCTACTAGTTCAGTAGTTCTCCTCTAACAGGTGACGGCAAGGGTGGTTGTTCAGTGTGGAATTATTATTTTTATTAAGTATTATATTAACCTTGTATTTATTGGAATTATGCTGTGGTTTAGTGCATAGTTACTATTAATAGCTAGTTTAATATTGCGACCAATGGAATTTATGTTTTAATTTTTTATCTCTTTTTCTTGTACGTGCTCATCAGGGCATGAGGTTGCCCGTACGGTGGGCCATCTGCAATATATTATCATATATTTATTTAATTATAGAATACTTCAACAAAACCCTGATATTTTGATTTGGGAGAGATTATTACGTAAGGAGACTGTACATAGAGAACCGTTCGATTTTATGACTGTGAATAATCAACACGTAGTAAAAGCACTAGGTGAACAGTAAGTGTGTTTTTACTTCACTTTTAATGTTCACAGTCACAAAATTGAACAGTTCTATATATCTAGATTCCGCACGTAATAATCTTTTTGATTTTGAGATTAAGCTACCGAATAAAATAAAAAATTTTGAGTTTAAAATTTACTTATCAAATAGGCGTATGAGATTACATTTAGTTTACTCATAAGTCCAAAAAAAAAAATTATAGAATAGTTTTATTGGCATATCTTGTTTCAATCTAATCAAATGAATTTAGATTTTCTTCATAAGTGAAAAATATATATTATCATTTATTTGTGTTACTATAATTTAAATATTAAAGTTATAAAATAAATTTTAAATTATAAATATATAAAAATTTAGTTGTATTTATACAAAGATTAAAATAAATAATTGTAATAATAATAATTAAGTGATAGATTTCATGTGCCTAGGTATATAATTTAATTTTAAATCTTTGATAATAATTTGTAAAACTTTTATAAACTAGATTATCTTTCTATCCACCTAAATTCCACAAATAAATACACAAAAAAATAAAATTACAAAAAATATAAATATATATTTTTTGTTTATGAGTGAAGCTAAATAAAATAGAATTTTATTTTATACAAATTTATTTAAAAGATGCAGCTTTATTCCATCAAAATAACAACAAATAGACCTCAACAAAACTTGTGTGTGGAGAAGCAATGAACACTTGAGCTAGTGTGTGTGCATGCATACTAATATACAAAGCTATTGGAAGAATCTAGAAGGTTGGACAAAAGCTAATTATTTTAAATTTATTGAATATGCTTTGAAATTAGTGCAACATAAGAATTGATATACTCATCTCAAGATAAACCCAAATTTAGATTTCATTTGGGATAGCTTTCTTACTGCTTCTTAAAGCAGCTTTCAAGTACAACAAATACAATTTTTATACTAAAAATATGCTTTAAGAAGCAGTAAAAAAACCGTCCCAAACGAAGCCTTAAATTTGAAAATCTAAACCTAAATCTTTGCCAATCGTCCGAAGAAAATGATTCTCCTTAGCATTGATGCATATGTTAATATAACAACATGATAAAAAGTGCATTAAATACCACCAGATGAACCAAAATGCCAATAGATCAGATGATTAATTAGGAGGAAGGAATTTAATCAATTTCATCTCTCCTTGAGGGGTATAGGGACAGACTTTCTCAGCTCCAATGGAGGAAGGCAGCTTTTCAATGGTGAAGGCAAGAATAGGAAGGAAGAAGAGAGACCTTCTGACGCTCAGAGATAGAAGGTTGACAGCTGAAAGAGCTTCTGAGCTTTCTTTTCTCACCATCTGCAGAATCAGGATCATTTCGGCTGGCAGAAACCCTGAAGGCTTCAGGCAGGAGGCAGTCGCAGAAGCGACCTGCAATATGATTTGGATTAATTTCATTAAAAAAAAGCAGAAATATAAGGTCTTTTATTCAAACTTATGGCATCTTTCCTCAATAAAAGGATAATATTCTCAAATTTGAAAGAAGATAACAAAAGCGGATTGTGCCACTTCTATGAACTAAGGCTTTCGTTTGGTACATCTTGTTTATTGCTTTCTAAAATAGTTTTATAGTTCAAAAAATTTCTATACTAGAAAGCTTTTTTAGAAAGCAATAAAAAAGCAATCTCAAATGAAGCCTAAATTTGTGAAGTATAGTGCATTATTCTAGTTATAAAGCCAAAAATGAGAAAATAGAGTTCAAAATGATAATAGACAAAGTGTATTGCACTTAGCTGATGTTTGTAAATAAGCATATTGGAATATCATTTCAAATAGGCTCGCACATCATGATTTTCAATAGCATATGACTCTTTATCCTTCAAGTGGGATCTTTCTTAGAAATTATTAAAATTACAAGCCTGAAAAATGGCACCATGTAAAATGTACTGTTCACAAAGAAACCTCACTTCATGATATTATTGTTATAAGAATTATTTTATTATTTTTGCATCCTGGAATACTAGCGGAGGTAGAGAAATATAAAGTTTAACATCTTAGCTTCATACGAAGGTCCAGCACGCAAACAGATAAGAATGTATTGGTGTAGCATTCATAAGAGACACTAAAATTTTTATGTGGAAACCCCTGAAAAAGGGAAAAAATCACAGGGTCTGGCCCAGTTTGAATGAATCCACTAGTGTTTGCAGGTGATTCAAAATAAGATCCTTCCTTGAGGGAAGGCCTTGCCTCAATGTAGCAAATACATATCATATAATAATACTCATTTTTGTGGTTAACTACCCAACAATATTTGAAATCACCCAAATTGCCATCTTCTCTGAGCTTATTTGAATATGGCAAGTAGAGACCCACCTACAGTGCTTGTTAAGATAGCTTTGCAACCTATTCCCTCCAAAAATACATATCCTCTTGGGACCTCTTGATGGTGGATCATGGGGGGATCATGCTCACATGCCACACCTAAATGCTCAAATTAGGGAATTGAACATTTTGATATTTCACTCCTTGGATTATGTTTTGATAGGCTGCCCCTCGTGTTCTAGATTGTGTGGATCCACAATAAGTTGTGTCTAGGTTCTCAGTTTTAGGTCGCTGCCATTGACAACTTGAAAACTCTTGTAAATATTCAAGGAGAGAGTTTCGGGTTTCTTCTTTTATTTCTTTGGAGCAAGGCAACTCATATCCAGTAAAGATATCTTCAGATCATCAGTTAGACAATTAGTCTTTACCCACTAAAGGAGTGAAAAATCATTCTTGATAGAAATTGCCATCACGCACTCAAGGGGTTAAGGAGCAATCAAGTGTCTCCAGCTTTGAGCTAGTTAGCAGGCAATGTTCACTCTAAATTTTCACATAATCTGGCTTTTGAAGGACAACACCTCTCCATTGCACCTCATAAGAGTGAAGCTATGATACACCAACACTCCGCTTAAAGAGGGAATGCAGTGTCGGACACGTGTCGAACACGAACTCGAGCCCGATACGATGGGGATACGTGTTGGACAATGGAGATTAGGCGAAGGTTCAAAAGTGTCTTGTGTAGAAATTGATAAGCCCATATGGAATCATGTTACAAAGTTAGGAAAAATTTTTGAAGGAGGAGGAAATGTGTCATTCAAATATAATTACTGTGGTGTCACATACAAAGGATCATATTCTAAGGTGAAAGTACATCAACTTAAGATTGGTGCCATGGAAATAAAATGTGTCACCACTGATCGCCAAAGGAGGCAATGGATTACAATCGCATTCCTTTTCCACTGCATTAATTTTCCAATCATCCAAACAACTCCAAAGTATTCCTTTTACAATGCATTCCTTTTACATTGCATAGGAAAATGAGGCAATGGATTACAATATAAGGGATATAAAACTATCGATCTAATGATTATAAATCTTAAACTATGTGATAAAAAATTCCTATCAAGATTGATTGACTTAATGGTTCCCAAGATCCTTCATCAATACATTATAACACCAAAAGACTCCATAACTTGGGGAATCCTGTAAATCATTCGCATATATTTGGAATTGTCAAGTTATGTCTCACCAAACAAATTCAAAGGCTATCATTCATCTATATATCTTCAACAATTTACAAGGAACCATCATTTTTTGTTATTGGAGTAAATTTACTTTGAGTGATTTGGCATAAATCTTTTTTTCCTATTAATAAAATTTAATTTAACCATATAAATGCTAATTGCCAAATCCCTCCTTTAACCACAAAAGAATTTGATTAGAATACACAAATTCAGCTTTCTTTCTACTTTCGCTTACGTTGCGGGGGTGGAGTGAGAGGTGCATAAATAGCTTATGCCCCTTGAAACTTAATATCAACCATTAGATGTACACTGCTGCAAAATTGCTTGTAAGGCAATTTGATTCTTCATAAAACAACGGTTGTTATGGTACGAAGAAAATAGCTGTCTTGAATCTGATCAATAAAACCTTTATGTTTGCTGAAATGCAAAGCACTTGCAGCAGTGATAAATGTTGTTTACCAAAGTACAATGGTAAATGGTCTAAAAAACACCTACTATTTAAGGATTAATTAAAGATAAACAGGAAAATTCTAGCACTAATTATAGAAGAACTAAAAGTAGAAAGTTAGAAAAACCTCTCATCCTCCTCACTAAACTACCATTACTTATTGCTTTATATCATTTAGCATCCATAATAGTTTTTCTAATTTACATATAGCATGATCAAAGGCTAAGGTGTAGAAATCATAATAAAGATAAACAAATATTTCATCAGTAGCAATGTATACCATGCAAAGTCATACTTCAACATTATCAAGCTGTTCATTAAGTAAACGTGGGGAAGGCCAGAAGATGTATTACCAATCTTAGCAAGCCGATTCACCCATTTTGGAATCGAGTTCCCTGTCAATTTACAGCACAGATCCTTTGTGAAATGATTGCAGTTCTTAACAAGTAAATGATAAGTATCACCATTGTAGTTTACAGAAAGATTTTCCATAAACTCTCTGGCCTGAATTGGGTCCAGACATGTTGTTCCCATGAATATTGATTTCCTAAACCTGAAGCCTGGGCATTGCCTAGGTTCAACCTCAAAAACCCCGCTTGTCGGGTTATCATGTGCCCCGAAAGCATACTCCACTCCATGAACTGCAAGTATTAGAAGAATTACAATATTGCAGAATTTTATGCTTGCAAAATAAAGGAATAATCATAAGCCCTTCTTAAGCTTATTTTGTTAGAAGTTTCCAAATCAGTATTGGCATGATAGAAAACCAACAAAATTATTCAAAGAGCAAAGAAA